GTTGGTTCTGACTCATAGTGACCCCGTGTACAACAGAACAAAACACTCTCCTGTACTGTGCCATTCTCACAGTCCTTTCTGTGCTTGAGCCCGTCATTGCAACCACTATGTCAATCCATCTCATTGAGGGTCTTCCTCTTTTTTATTGACCTTCTACTTTACCAAGCATGTTGTCCTCCTCCAGGACTGGTCCCTCCTGATAACATGTCCAAAGTATGTGAGATAGTCTTACCACCTTGCTTCTAAGGAGCATTCTGGCTGTTCTTCTTCCAAGACAGATTTGTTCATCCTTTTGGCAGTCTGTGGTATATTTAGTATTCTTCTCAAACACCAGAATTCAAAAGCATCAGTTCTTCTTCAATCTAGGCCCTCATTAAAGCTTTACCACCACCCAGTTATGTGACTTTGGGCAAGTCACTTTATCTCTGTTAATAAGGGGGTTGGATGATTTGACCCACTAAAAGTCTGCTGATTCTACTGTCTCCCAAGTCTTTTCTACCCTAGCTAGATAAAGAAAGCAGATATAAAAAGGAAGAGATCTCTGGGTTTTCTCACTCATGAAGAATTGTTGTTAGGTGCCGTTGAGTCCTCTCTGACTCATAGCAACCTTATGTACAACAGAACAAAACACTGCCTGGTCTTGTTCAGGATTAGCTCCTGGCTAAATTCCAAGAGGGTCTTCCAGTACCTAGTCAGATGGTCTGTGCCCCGCAGAACCGTAGGGGGTTGGATTCATACCAACAAGACCCAGTCAACATCCCCATACCCACCAGTGCCTCTCTGTGTGTAGAAGCTTCTTTTGCACCCACTTGTCTTAGGGGATTGGATTAGTTTTCTGTGGTTGCTATAATAAATTACACATGTTTAGTGCCTCATTATAATTCAAATTTATTACCTTAAATTTTGGAAGTCAGAAGTCCAAAATTGGTCTCACTGGCCTAAAGTCTAGGTGTCAGCAGAGCTGGTTCTTCTGATGGCTCTAGGGGAGAATGTTTCCTTGCCTATTGCAGCTTTCATAGACTCCTTGCATTCCTTGGCTTGTGATCCCTTCCTCTGTCTTCACGGCCAATGGCATAGCATCATCTCTCCTCTTTGTCTCTCCTTTTATCTTCTCTCTCTGACTCCGATTCTTCTGCTTCCCTTTTATAAGTAGTCTTGTGATTACACTGGGCCCTCTGGGATAATTCAGGATAATTCTCCATCTCAAAATCCTTAAGTTAATCACATCTGCAAAGTCCCTTCTATCACAAAAGGTGACGTATTACAGGTTTCAGGAATTCAAATGTGAACCTCTTTGGAAGGGCAGTTATTCATCCTACTGCAGGGATTATCTATTCAACATTAAAACCCAGACTTGGATAGGGAGGAGAGTGTGTGGAGACACCTGCTTTGGAACGGAGGCTACTAAGCAGTTCCCAGGGCAGTAACTGTACTTGGCTTGCGGGTTTAGCTATACAGACAGTAAATCATTTGCTTTTTCAGTGTTCTTAGATTCTCCTTTTTTAACTGCTTGAGAGCCTTTATCCATAGTCATGTGTACTCACCAAAGAGTTGTCCACATCTCCTCAAAGTCACCAGGTTTGCTGAGCCATGCCCATTATCTTCCTTCTTGTCCACGGTGACCTGGGAAAATGCAAAAATCTCCAAGACATCCCCCCTCCCCTTGTGGAGCTTATGTCTAAGTGGAGGAGAAAGGCACAGCCAGGAGTTTTAACACCAGGCAGGATGTGCTACGTAATGTAATGGTGACAAACCAAGGTAAAGGAGAAGATAGGACATCATCATCAGTTCTAGCCTCCAGAGACGTCAGATCATGTATTCAGGTTTTGGCACAGATATGCAATCACTGTGTATACACATTTCAAGTTAATAACTCTTGCAGGCTAAGACTTTTTTCTTTTTTTTTAATATAGGATGGTGTCCTTCTTATCTAAAGGTCTTGTTTCAAAAGAGGTGTCCAGCGCTGATGAGTCACGTGAAATCTCTTGTATAGTCGAAGTTGATTAAAGTTGGGACAATAAGAACTCACTAGGTACAGCAGACGTTAGAAAAAAAAGCTAGTTAGTCATCTTCTTTCCTGCTGAACCTGAATAGGTAAAGTCTAACTTGGCTGCATTCTGAAGAGCGCTGGTTTCCTGTGGCTGACCTACAAATGCCCAGAATGGTAGGGCTCTCCTAGATCATTCCTCCTCATGTGTCCCTTCACAGGCAAGTGACTCTCCAGCAAGAGCTCCCTCTAGGCCAGAGCACAATTTTAGAAGATACAGCTGACTTCACTGAGAGAAACAGAAGCACCCTGGTCTTACTATGGTCATGGAAACCAGGTTGGCACCTCATTATCGCCTTGTTAGCAAGGACACGCTACCCTTGTAGACAAACGGGTAGGAAGGGTTGGCCCTGTGTGGGGAGGGTTTTGAGTTAAGCTTAATTGCTCTTCTAAAGCTCAGCTACTTAATACTACACTAGTCGAAATCTATCATCATCCTCTTGACTAGCCTCCTCTTTCATAGTCTCACCTACATAGACAATTAGTTCCTCCCGACTCTGCTGCTGCCATGACTTGTGCCTGGGCCACACTGGGATGAAGGCTTGGCTGCAGCCAGCACAACACCCTAGAGCAGAAAGGGTCTGCAACCACCTTGACCATCCCCACCTCCCGATCCCCACTCCCAGTATTTTAAAATGCTTCCAGCCCTTTCTGCCCTTGGGGACTAGCAGGGCTACTGGCTGGGTGGAGTTGGTGTCTTTTTAACAACTGTGATAGCACATTCTTGATTTTTTACACAAATGAAAGAGTAACCCAAAGTCATTTCTGTCTGGCTTTGAAATGTGCTTTGTACTTGTGTTTGAATGTGGGTGTGCCCGACATTCTGAGAACTCACTTCAAAGGAAACAGTAAAGCCACCCATGAAAAGGGCTTCACTGGGAAGCTGAGAAATGACATATTTTAACTGCCCTGTGCCCATTCTCTTCAAAGTTTGAGTCCCAAGTCTGTACTCAACAAAAGTGAGTGTTTATAAATAGATCACCTAATCTTTCTGAGTTCAGGTTCTTGCCCTATAAATTTAGGGTGAAAATCACCTACCCCCATAGGATTGATGGAGAGATCTGATGAGATAACATAATTTAAGCATTGGACACACAGTAGCGTTGCAGTAATCAATGTGAGTAATCTCTCCCAGTTAGCTGCTTCTTCACCACCTCCCCATCTCCTCCTGACCCCCACCGCTTTCTCATACCAATACAAAGAGCCAACCTAAGCAGAAGCTCTTGTTCCTCAAAGCTCCTTCAAGGTGAGAGAGGTGTGACATGCCACACACTTTCCATGCGTGTCTCCCTTTCTGTTCCTCACATGCCCACCTCCACCGCAGCCTCTTTCCTCTGTGTTTCTTTATTGTTGGGCTGTCACTGTGGAGTTGGGGACGGTGGAGAACTTGTCTGAAGTGTCCCTGCTAGCAGTTTCCCCCACCCTTCCATAGACAGGCTGGTTGACTACCAGTTTCAAATGCCCAGTCCATTCTTCCCAGTGGAATGCTCTAGGAATTCCCATTCATCAACATCCAAAACACATTTCCTGATTATACCCACTCCCCGAAACGGAATGTAAGACCCAGAAAATATGGTCTTCCAAAAGAGCCCTGACTGTGGTATCCATGTATCCAGATTTTCTGGGGAAGCTGTCCTTTTTCCAGACCACGTGTCCTGATTATTGCTCCTTAAAACACCGTAACCAACCAACCAACAGCGATCACATGAAAGGGAATATCAGAACATCATCACTGTGGGGAAGATTCTGTGAGCGCCCACTGCTGCCTCAAATCAAGATTCTTCACTTATAACATTTTTAGCTACTCTTTACACTAGTTTGAGAGCTGAATAGAAGGGAGTATAATTCTAGTTGCTTTTGGATGTAAAATGAGGATAAGGATGAAAATGTGTTTTGCACACATATCTGTACAAGTCACTCTGTGCAATTTTGATGTCTTTTTTTTTTTCCACTTAACATTAGAGCATATGGATTTTCTCATGACATAAAGAATTATTTTTGTAAGCAATGACTTTACCAAATTCAAGACTGTACCATTGGCAATGGCAGGCAGCCAGCTACCAAGGGGGATTTAGGGCAATGGAATGTGTTCTCTCTGGAGTTTGATGCTGGGCATACATATAAGGGTTCATTTGATGACCCTTCATATTTCTTGAAAGTCTTAAGTATTGCATAATAAATTTAAAATGTAAATATCAACTGTAAGTAGTCACTTAACATCTCATTATGTAGATGTATCATAATTTACTCAATTAAAGCTGCTGTTATTGGATAGTTGTGGTTTTTAATGTCGGGGTCTGAAATAACATAGCATTAAACATCATCTCTGGGTATCAGGCTTTGTCTGGATGTTAGCTCATCTTCTTGGAATAGAGGTATAGACTTGAATGATCGGGTCAAAGGATATGAATGCAGTGAGTACATATTGCTCAGCTGGATGAATTTAGACTGTCACTGACACCATGCCCTTGCCTCTTTATCTCACCAGCATAGTGCTGCTTGTATTATTTTTTTTAATACTTGCTATTTTGTGAGGTGGGAACTCTGGTAGCATAGTGGCTAAGACACTTGCCGCTAACCAGACGGCTGGCAGTTCAAACCCACCAGCCACTCCTTGGAAGGAAGGTTGGGCAGTCCTACTTCTGTAGTGATACTGCCTCAGAAACTCAAGGAGGGGTCACTATGAGTCGGGTTTGACTCGACAGCACATTAACAACAACAACAACAATTTTGCTAGGCAGTTTTTCATTTCTCATGGTTTGTATTTTTTTGATTACCAGTGATATTGAGCATTCTATATTATAATAATATTTTTTTTAAACTGCACTGTGTGTTTGTGTGTGTGAGTACAAGTTTTTATAGATGCACTTGTGTCTAGGACCTGGGTGGAACTGTCATGTTTGTGTGAAAGCGGGCCACATATAAGCAAAGAAATAGCCCCTCATCCCCCTGAATGAGAACCAGCTATGCATCTCAACCTTTGTCTCCCCACAGTGCCGCCAAGCTCCTGGACAAGAACCCGTTCTCAGTCAGTAACCCGAACCCTCTGCTTCCATCGCCTGCCAGTCTCCAACTGGCTCAGCTGCAAGCCCAGCTCACCCTCCACCGGCTGAAGTTGGCACAGACCGCTGTCACCAACAACACTGCGGCCGCCACGGTCCTGAACCAAGTGCTCTCCAAAGTGGCCATGTCCCAGCCCCTGTTCAACCAACTGAGGCATCCATCTGTCATCAGCGCCCCCCACAGCCATACTGCCACCATGCCCAGTGCCCGATTTCCCTCTAATGCAATTGCCTTCACACCCCCCAGCCAGACACGAGGCCCAGGACCCTCTGTGAGCCTTCCCAGCCAGCCCACCAGTGCCATGGTGATGCATCCTTTCAGTGGGGTCATGCCGCAGACCCCTGCCCAGCCAGCTGTCCTCTTGGGGATTGGCAAGTCTGGGCCCACTCCTGCTACTGCAGGATTCTACGAATATGGTAAAGCCAACTCTGGCCAGGCATACAGCTCTGAAACAGATGGTCAGCATAGCTTTCTGCCAGTCTCAGCCTCTGCCTCGGGCACTGTGAACTACGAAGGACACTATGGCCACACAGGGCAAGATGGCCAAACCGCCTTTCCTAAAGATTTCTATGGACCCAATGCCCAAGGGTCGCATATGGCAGGTGGATTTCCAGCTGAGCAGGCCGGGGGCATGAAAGGCGAGGTGGGTCCACTGCTGCAGGGCACAAACAGCCAATGGGAGAACCCCCTTGGGTTCTCTGGCCAAAGCAAGCCTGATCCTACAGCAGGCCCTACCCTGTGGCCTCCGCCCTTGAGCCAGCCCTATGAGCTGTACGACCCCGAGGAGCCCACCCCAGACAGGACCCCTCCTTCCTTTGGGGGCCGGCTTACCAACAACAAACCGGGGTTCAGCAGTGCCCGGCGGCGGGCCAACGAGGAGCAAGCAGTACTGTCCATGCGGCCCCTACAAGCTCATGAATTGAATGACTTTCATGGCGTGCCCCCCCTCCACCTGCCACACACCTGTAGCATCTGCGACAAGAAGGTGTTTGATTTGAAGGTGAGTTGGTCAGACAGGCTAGGAACTACAGCGAGGGCTTTGGCTTGCTTGCTACCATGACCCCATCTCTCTCTGCTCACAGGAGAGGAAGTGTCACATTTGGGGATTGGACAACAGCATTTTGCCATCTGTACCCTTGATTGAAACATAGGTATTAAAACCAAAGAGCTCCTGAGTGGTACAAACGGTTAACACAGTAGGCTGCTGACCACAAGGTTGGTGCATCAAGGCCACCCAGAGGCATCTTGGAAGAAAGACCTGGTGATCTCCTGAAAAATCAGCCATTGGAAACCCCATGGAGCAGTTCTACTCTGACACCCATGGGGTTGCCATGAGTTGGAGTAACTCTGTGGCAGCTGGCTGTTAGAACCAGAAAGAATTTCAGGAAAGGGTCAGGGCCAGTCCCTTGCTGTAAAGCAAGTAAGAGATCATTACCGACATTTTGTAGGGAGAATGGTGAGGTTGAGTGGGGTCAAGTGATCCCACCTTGATTACAGAGAAACAACCCTCATTACCATTGAGTTGATCTGATTCATAGCGAGATCCCCCACTGAGTTTTCGACGCAGCAAATCTTTACAGAAGTGATTGCCCCATCTTCCTTCCTTCCATGGAGCAGCTGGTGGGTTTGAACTGCCAACCCTCTATTTAGCAGTCAAATGCCATAGGCACTGCACCACAGAAGAGCTCAATAACTTGGGGCTCCTGCCTCCTGTTTGAGGGGTTTTCCTCTGTGATATGTCTACAAGCTTCTGTTCTTTGAGTACCTATAGTGTACTGAGAAAAAGAAAAGGTTAATGGACTTTCAGGTCAGGGGTAAGAGAGTCTCAGGTGGGGCCCAGACACGTTATTATATAGAGTCTCAGGAGACCTTCTCAGTACACATAAAATGATTTGGGCCCTGTAAACAAAGGTCCCCTATAGTCAACTTTTTTCTCAATAAGCATAATGATGATGTAGTATAATATACCAAAGATATAGCTTATGTATATTGGACCCTTTCTGTGTGCCAGCAGTAACTCCACAAGGTAGATAACTATTGTTATTCTCATTTTACAGATGAGAAAACCGAGGCCCAGAGAGATGAGATGACTTGTCCAGGGCCCCTAGCTAGAAAGTGGCAGAACGGAGATTCAAATGTGGGTCGGACTCCTCCCAGAGCTAGCCCTCTAAAGCCCTGGGCTGCGCTGACTCCCATCTCTTACCCCGTTTGGAGAGCATAGGTCCTGCTTAGTGGAAGTCACACTGCAGTGTGTCGTTAACCTCTGCTTGGGTCACATCATCTCAGTGCATCCCTGGCACCTTCTCACCCCAGTCTTGGGAGGAGACTGGCTGATACACCGGGAAGAGCTTGAGTATTTTGTCTTCCCATAGCCTTTTCACACTTACTGTGAGCACACCTGCCAGATCCTCCCAACTGGACAGAGACATGGGTGGGGTCCCTCTGGAGGAAAGGAGAGGGAGTGGGAGGTGGGGTTGTGCAGGTGACCAGGAGCCACTGGGAGAGGACGACTTGTGATCTGAACTCCTGACTGACCCAGGAGCCCCAGTGGGATGGATCAGGGCGAGGAACCTGGGTGGGAAGGAGAAGGGGAGTGAGGTGTGTCAGGCAGGGTGGTGGTGGGTGCTCTGTGCTCCCTGCGTGGCGAGGGACTCTGCACTTATCCCTCACCTTCCCTGCAGCACTCCCCTGCCTTCCTGTGGCCTCAGCTCTCTCTATGTTCCTTTTCTTTTCTTCTGGCCCAGGACTGGGAGCTGCACGTGAAAGGGAAGCTGCATGCTCAGAGATGCCTGGTCTTCTCTGAAAAGTAAGTGCTGTCTGGGAGAACGGTTTCTGCGTACACTCAACACACAGTCACTGAGCACTTGCTGGGGCTACAGCTGAGAACAAAACCGGCATAGTCCCTGTCCTCAGGGAGTGTAACGTTTAATGGGGGGGGGCGGTAACAGATGATAAAATAATCTGGTAAATTGTATTGCATCCCTGATTAGGAGAAAACAGGGTCAGGGCAGGGGTGGAAGGTGTGCCTGTGTGTGCATGAGGTAGGGGTTGGGAGAGCTGGTCCTTGTGTTTAAAATAGGTCTTTCCTTGCCCAGCTGTGGCCCATAGAGATAGAAGGTGACATTCCTAGTCATTCAAAATCTATTCAGAATCCAGAACTCAGGGGATCCCTGGCACTCCTTAGCCTTCACCCACCTGCACTCCCCCCAACACCATCTTCTCTAGCCCTTGATAACTACTAATCTACTTCCTATAGCCATAGATTTCCTGTTCTGGACATTTCATATACATGGACTCATATAATATGTGGCTTCTGTGCCTGGTCTTTTCAGTAGCATATTTTCAACGTTCATTCCTGTTGTAGTGTTTATCAGCACTTCACTCCTGTGTATGTTGTTGTGTACCATCTAGTCGATATTGGCTCATACTGACCCTATAGGACGGAGTAGAACTGTCCCTTAGGGTTTCCTTGGCTATAATCTTTACGGAAGCATATTACCAGGTCTTTCCTCCTACAGAACCACCACCTTTCCGGTTAGCAGCTGAACACTTAACCACCGCCCCATCAGGGCTCCTGCTCCTTTGTATGGTTGAGTACCATTCTGTTAACATGTATGCACTACATTTTGTTGATCCGTTCATCCACAGGTGGATGCTTGGGTTGTTCCCACCATGTAGCTATCGTGAGTAGGCTGCTATGAACGATCGTGGACAAGTTCTCGTTTGGACGTCTGTTTTCAGTTCTTTCAGAAAAACACCAGGACGAGGGTCATGGGTAATTCTATGTTTGATGTACTGTGGAACCCGTTCCTCTTTTTCACCCCTCTGCAGTGCTGGCATCCAGTGTGTCCTCGGCTCAGCGGAGGGAACGCTTTGTGCCTCTCCCAGCAGCCCAGCTGTTTACAGCCCAGCTGGGAACGAAGGTGAGTGAAGGCCTGCATGGTGGCAGCTTGAAGCAGAAAGCAGCTTCTCCAAGGCCTGTTACCTAAAGTCCTCCTAACCAGAACTTCCCTGACATGCACTTCGTATCCATTTATAAAGCAAACAGATCCCAAGACATTAAAATGCATTGGGCCTGCTGTCGGGGCCCATCTATATTTGCTGAGCTATTTTAGACATAAAGCTTTGTTGGCTATTAACACACCCAGGGGTGTAATCACATTGATGGCTAATTGAGAAGAAACTTTGATTTCCCTCTCCTACTAATGTCCTAATAACGTCTTTGAAGGTAAAGTAGATTGACTGGGTTTTCACCTCGCTTATGTAATTTGTCATTTAGACTATGCCTCAAATCTTGGAGCATCATATGTGGCCATTCCAGCAAGGTCTTTTCCTTCAGCTTCCCCTGGGGCAAATGTGAGTATAGAAGCAGCTCTTTGTCATTGTCTCATCAGCACATTTGTGTCACCTGCCTTGCCTGGCCGTTGTGTCGTTACTTGCTGAAGAGGCTGGGGTAAAGATAGAGCAGGTGTGGTTTTGTGCAGCTCAGGAAGACATGTCCCTGGACAGAAGTTATTTAATTTAGTGCAGCTAGTATTGAAAAAAGGAGCCCTGGTAACACTGTGGCTAAGGCTGCTAACCAAAAGGTCAGTGACTCGAACCTCCCAGTCGCTTCACAGGAGAAAGACGAAGCTATCTTCTTCTGTGAAGATTTATAGCCTTGGAAACCCTATGGAGATCTGTATGAGTCAGAATCGATTCAATGGCAGTGAGTTTGGTTTTTGGTTTTAGTATTGAAACACTCAGATGAATAAAAGCTGAAATAAATTCTTAAAATGGAAAGAACTCAGATTTTCTAGCATTTGGCCTTGGTTTAGGGAAAAGAAAAAGTTTGAGCTTTTGTGGCTTTTTGAAAAAAAGACTTTGTAATGTTTTATTAACACACAGGCCAATGAGAGGGTAACTGTGAAACTTGAATCAGAAGGAGAAAACATGTTTGAAAGTAAGGGCCAGGTGGTAATAGTATTTGTTGGTCCTTTGGGGAGATGGTTGCTGCCATACGATACATTTCTTTGTTTCGTTTGCTTTTTTCTCTGTGTAACATGTGCTTTAGTCCCACAGAACTCTAAAACCATCATCCGTCTCTTTCTCTTCGGGTTCAATCACTGTTCCCCGACCCCACCCCGCCCCCGTCAACCTGTTCCTCTTTTCCTCCCCAGAAGCACAGGGAGATACAGAGCCAACTATAAACAAAATGTATTGGGCTGAATCCTGCTAGAGGGCGTGTGTTTGTGTCGGTCCTTTTAAAATTCATGCTGTGAGCGGCTGCGGCCTCTTCTCACACCACAAGTGCGAGCTCAGGAGAGCCGGCCTCCACGTGCATCCCCCCCTCATGTAGGGCATTTGTGCAAAACGTCAGAAGGGCCAAACAAGATGTACAGGTGTGAGAGCTCGGTGGGTGACTGAGTGGGGAGGTCAGGAGGTTCATGACAAGATGTGAGGCCTCCTGGGCCGAGAGTTCTGTCTGTTCGCATCTGTTTATCTGGATGTTTCTTAGGAGCAGTGCTGTAAGGGAGAGTACCACGTGGGAGGCCCACATGTCTGTGGAAAAGAATTTTGTTGTTTCCCCCTCTCCGCTCTCCTTGCCCGGAGCCACATCCACGTCATTGGTAGCTGTGGCTCAGCAAGGGGAGTGACTGGGCCCAGCAAGCCCCGGTCATTTTGTCTTTGTGCTCAGACTGCCAATGACCTGCTCTTGTGCCCAGCACCACCTTCACCCCAGGACCTTCTCCACACCTGTGGGCCACAGCGGTATCTCCGTGCCCATAATCCTGCTCTGAGACCTCACCCATAGCACTGAGGGCACTGTGACTGGGATGGGGAACCAGATTGGGTGGCTGGCAGAGTGGGGCCAGAGCTTGTGTGTTGATTCCATCCTGGGGTCCAGGCACCTGAGTCCTTTTATAAAGGGGCATGCAAAGGGTGAGGAGAAACAAGGGCAGGACAGCTCTGTGGTCTGTCCTCTACCTCATCCCTACCCTTTGCCAAAAATCACTGTATAAGAGGCTGTGGAGTCAGAGGACCTAAGTTCAAGTCCTCATTCTGGAGCCCACCAGCTTTGTAGCCTCAGGCAAGTCACCTTACTTTTCTGAGGCTCTGTTTCCTTAGATAGGGACAAGAACATCACTAATAATGAGTTCTGAAGGTAAGTGACTGGGTTCTCACCTGACTTGTGTAGTTTATCATTTTGATTATACCTCAAATCCTGGACCATCATATGTGACCATTCCCACAAGGCCCTTTGGTTCAAGGGTCAGTGCTGTAAGGTGGGGATGGGGCACAGGACAGACCAGAGTTGTGCTGCCCTTGGGAAGATCAAATGAGACACGTATGTGACAATGATTTGTGAACTGTCTAGTACATAAGAAGTAACTAGCTGTTATTGAGTAAGGAGCCCTCTTTTAACTTGTTGTAGCTATGAAGAGTGGTGGGGAAACCCAACATGGCGAGCTGTGTGACTTTGGGCAAGCCTTGGTACCAGTGCTCCTCTTGCATGAATCTATCCAGTATTACCTGTGGTCGTATCTGCTACCCCTTGGAGAAGCTCCCATGAAAGCACTTTGAAATAGTGCTTGCTGGGCAGACCTGAGCAGTCTGATGCTTCCTGTTAACATTCAGAAGGTCTGAGTACAACTTCCTCTAAACACCTTGAGACAGGGAATTTATTTGTCTTGAGCTGGAGGAAGAACAACTCAAGAAAATTTTGCTTTCTGCACGGGCCACGAGCAGGAGGTGGAGAGCCCAAGACCACAGGCAAAGCATGGGTCATGCCTGCAAATGCTCAGTCTGAGCGTGGCTCAGGGTTCCAGGGACTTACTGTGTCAGTGTTCACCATATGAATCATCTCTTCTGTTATCTCAAGACATCGATTCTAAGAAGTCTGCTTATCTGCTATCTCTGGTAGAAGTGCATAGCTTCTTCACTCAATGAGATGCAGCACTGGAAAGTTGGCAAACTCAGCAGAATTGAGGACAGAAGGCGGGTTTGAATCCTGTCTTGATCCATTATTAGTTGTGTGTCCCTGAGCAAGTTCCAGAGGGGCTTTCAGACCTCAGGATAAAAAGAAAGCATTGAAGGATGATAACATAATAGCTAACATTTGTACAGTGCCAAAGATGTGCCACTGTTGGTAGCATTTTTGCATGTATTAACTCATTTAGTCCTTAAACATGAGAGAGATACTATTGTTATCCTTATTTCATAGTTGAGGAAACTGAGGCATAGAGAGGATAAGTAGCTTGCCTAAGGACACAGAGCTGGTAAATGGCCCTACTGGGATTTGAACCTGGATGGCTTGACTCTGAGGAACGCTGGTGGTGCAGTGGTTAAAGCACTCGATTGCAAACTGACAGGTTGGTTTTTTGAACCCACCAGCTTCTCTGAGGGAGAAAGATGGGGCAGGCTGCTTCTGTAAAGACTACAGCCTTGGGAACCCTGTGGGGCAGTTCTCCTCTGTCCTGTAGGGTTGCTGAGTCAGCAGTGACTCAGCAGCCACAGGTTGGGTTGGGTGGGGTTGGCCTGGTTGTTGTTGTTGTTGTTATTTGCCATCGAGTCAGCCTCGACTCATAGCGACCCCTCCTTGGATTTCCAAGGCAGTATCACTACGGAAGTAGGATTGCCCAACCTTCCTTCCGAGGAGTGGCTGGTGGGTTTGAACCGCCAGCCTTCTGGTTAGCAGTCAAGTGCCTTAGGCACTATGCTACCAGGGCTCCTGTAGAATCCTCATTTTTAACCACAAAGCCATAGACCCATCTCTAAGTGTCTCTGATCCCTCTTTCTTGCTGGGATCCTTCTCTTTAGTAAGCTCCCTCCCTCTCCCCTCATCCGTCAACTGTTGAGGGGGACCTAAGGTTGCCTTGGAGACCTCCTGCGTGTCTGAGCAGAACTGTGCTCCATAGGGTTTTCGGGAGCTGATGTTTTGGAAGTAGATTTCCAGGTCTTTTTTCTCAGGTGCCTGGGGGTGGACTCAAACCTCTGACCTTTAGATTAGCAGCTATGTATGTTAACCATTTATACTACCCCAAACCCACTGTCAACTCACAGTGATTCTGACATGTAGCAACACTGTAGGGCAGAGTAGAACTGCCCCATAGGGTTTCCACGGCTGTAAATCTTTACAGATGCAGAGTACCTCATCTTTCTGTCATGGACTGGCTTGTGGGTTCGAACCACCGACCTTTTGGTTAGCAGCCGAATGCCTTAACTACTGCATCACCAGATTCTTTGCACCACCCAGAGCACCATAAGTCAGAATTGCCTAGACAGTAACTGGTTAAGGCTGCCTTGGAGGTGGCAGGGACTTCTCGGGCCTCAGCCAAGCATGAAGCAAGGTGAAGAGGCCAGTCAGATCCAGCCTCTGAGTTCTGCCTTTATGACAGTCTCTTTTGTGATGAACTTAGACGTGAAGAGGCATTTTCTTCAGATCTGACTGGTTTTCTCATTGTCACCTCTGGAGTCTTGCTGGTCTCATAAGTCTTCTTCAGGATGTCTGGGAACAAGGACAAAGCCCACCAGCCAGTCCCTGCATTCCCAGCGGCCTGATGGTCACATCCTTCTTTCTGATGCTGGTCCTCTGTTTGCCGTTCCTGGCAAATGGAATGAAATACAGGTGTGTCTTATTACAGAGAAACCTGAAACACAAAAATGTTGACATTGGAAGTCAAGCTGAGAAATGAAGAGCTGATCAATCCACTACTGAAAGATCCTTTGCAGCCTCCTTTAAGTAACAGGAGTGCCCCTTTGAGGAATTACTGATTTTTGTCCCTCTGCCTTCGATTGCTGTCAAGGCTTGATTGCTGTATTCCCAGAGGAGACTTTGCCAGGCTGCTCAGTGGCCAGCGGGTTTCTTCACACACATACCCTTCTGTTGTTTTTTCTGCTTGCAAAATGTATGGTTATTGGGAAAATTCCAAGAGAAAAGAAATAGTTAATGAGAGTGAAATTCCCCAGGGCCCTCTTTCCGGCCCCCGTAGAAAACCCATGAACACTTTGGTATGTTTTCTTCCAGAATTGTTTCTAGTGCTCTGCCAGAGCTTTTTCTGTCTGATTCCAATTGCACACATCTTTTCATATATACGTGCATTCCACTGTGTGGAATAAAACCAAGAACACCAGGACTCCCAGTGTAAGATCTCTTGTTTGTGGAGTGCAGAGCAATTGCTCATCTCAACCTCTGTCCTTAAGCAGGAGAACAAAGTAACATGGGGCTCTTGGAAGGAGTCTTCAGAATGAACTGTTACAAAACCTAAAACAACCACCGAAACCACACCCTCTACCTACCACCAAGCTCTCTGACCAAGAGGCTTGGTGGAATTTAAATCTGTCTCCACTTGACTGCAGTCCAAGCCTTTTGTGCC